TGAGTGAATATAAAAGACTCTCTTGTTTAGTTATTCCTTTGTTATCACTTTGTGTTTGATTTTTGGAAAACTTTTGAAACAAAATCCCAGTATCTTCTCTGCAAAAATAGACCTGTTCGAGTTATCGTCTTTTACTCTCTCTCTCTCTCTCTCTCTCTCTCTCTCTCTCTCTCTCTCCTTTTTCCTTAACCCTCTCCGTACTTCGTGTTTTACTATCGTATCTATACGGCGTGGGGAACTCTGTGCCACCACTTTAAAGAGCCGTACGCTTTGCATAGCAGTATGTCAAAGTTATTTACTGAGAAATACTGAAAGTTTCAAAGAGATCTCCGTACTAGAAGTATTCTAAAAGTTAAAGAATACAACCCGGGGGGTACAAAATGACCCCATGGAGTACGGATAGGGTTAAATAAAAAAGGACAAACAAAAAAGAAAGAGAGAAAGAACTCTTTTGCTGTCATGGAATTCCACAGTCAGAAATCCTACACGTCGAGTTCTACTAAGGCCCGGGGCACTGTGCAGAAGGCTTGAAAGCTTTGTCTAACACCTGTTTGATATGGCCTGATGCTTTTCAGGGCTGCCAACTAAATCCGTTCATGGAAAAAGGAAAAAAAAAGGGGGGGGGGGGGGGTTGTTAGCATTTTGGCACGAGTTGATCAGACCCTCTATAACCAAACATCATGTTTGATTTCGTAGGTCGGGACCGGCCCCGGTATAAGTTTATTGAAATTTGTGGTCAACAGGCAAACAGAAGCCTTGCTACATGACATAACTGGGGCAGATCCAAGGAGGTTTTAAGCTCCTTGGGCAGATCTTATGTTTCGTTTTGGTAAGAGTTTTACGGCACTTGCAACGCAATGAGGTCATATAAGTGCCGAAGATAAGAGACATGGAACTCATTGAAAATTATGTATCCATGCAGTCTTCTAAGGCCCCCCTTAACCTCGTGGGAAAATGCAGTTCGAGCACGCCATTCATGTATACACAAAGAGAAAGGATGAATGGGGAACAGCGGCCGATAAGATAGCAATCTAATTACGAGAAAAGTTCATGTATCCACCTTTGGAGAAAATAATCAGTGAGCTGTCACTGGATTCTGACAATACGTTTAGCACATTATGTCAGCACATCACACGCTCTCTCTCTCTCTCTCTCTCTCTCTCTCTCTCTCTCTCTCTCTCTCTCTC